GTTGTTCCAGTCGTTCCTCGTCCATTGCCTCTTCCAACAGCTTGCAAAGATAAAGATCCAACGATTTGCACTGCCATTTTTGCCGTCCGATCAGGCGCTGTAGCACCTAATTCAGTCGCGTATGTTTTCTAAATTTATCTTTCTAGCACTCTATTTGCTTATCGATTCGATTTTACTTGATTAAAAAAATTCTCTTCCAGAACAAATCCGTTTTTAGTCAATCCTAATTGTCAAAACGTGACTGTTATGGTTGCTGCTGAAGCTTTGTGTCCCTCTTCATGTGCAGTTTGCTGTTTAACGCCTGAATTTAATTGCCAAAACTGTATGTTTCTTATTGTACCAGTTTACTTGATATTGCTTTTTTGAGGTTATAATTTTTTAATTTGAAAATTTAGATAAAAATACATCTAATCACTTAGTCATTATGTGCAATATCTTTCCTTATTTTAGCTGCTCCTAACTGTGATGGATTTACGGCGGCACCAGATTTGTGCACGAACCCAAACACAGCCGCAGCGGCATTAGCAGGATGTCCTCAAACCTGTGGACTATGCAATAAACCTGGCGCCAACGGCCAATGTCCAGATACTGGTGTCGTGAATTGCGGACAATTATTGACAACTGGCATAAATTGTAGTAATGCTAATTCATGATGCAGAATTGCATGGGAACTTGCAGAATAACGACTTGTTTGTGTATGTTTGCATTTATCGAACATTGTTTTTTTGTGGGAATTGTTTTTCGACTCTTATCGTTGCATAAGCAAAATAATATAAAATAATAATAAAAGAGTTTTTGCAGTTTGAAAAACTGGTGAATTTAAAAAGTGAAAAACCACCATAAGCGTTTGTGGAAAAATTAGCATGCAAAATTTGGTTGAAAATTCGTTTCTTCTTCACCTCTTTTCGGATAAGCCAAGTGATTAAAGAAGAAATATTGTTATCAGAAAAATAATACGAAGAGAATTTTCAGCCAGCAATGGCTATAATAGATTAAAACAACTGAAGGAAAATGCCTTTTGTTTTGAATTTATTTTATTATTTATTTTATTTTATTCTTTTATTTTGTCACTATATTTCACTATATTTACTTTTATTACTATATTTTGTTTTGAAAAAAGGACTTAGTGATAATTTAATGATCAATTTTTTTTCTCGCGCAGTGATGCAGTTTCAGTTTTGTAAAAATGATATTTTTAGCAACAACAGCAGCAGCAGGTGCGTCTGCTTGCTCGGACAGCCGAGCCAATTGCGCGCAAATGGCATCGTTTTGCAATACTCCACCATATTCTGCAGTAATGGCTCAACAATGCCGAAGAACGTGTAACTTATGCCAATAAGTTAAATAGCTTTATTCGAAAGCGAAAATTTTGGGAAATTATAAATATTTCTGTGCTTTATATTTTCTTGGATTTTAATTATTGTATCGCTCGATTTTAATAAAATTAATATTATTTTCTGCTCTCCACTATTGTCATTGTTTTTTTTTAAAAATATGAAATACTCTTGGTTCGATTTCTGCAGGAAGTGTTCCAATCTCTTCTGGAAACGTTCAGATTATTTATTTATGCATTTCTTACAATCCATTTCGAGCATGATTTGTCACTGCTTTCCAACCGCTTGGGTCCCCCTTGATGGCTCCTGAAGAAATTAACCTTTATCTTTTATTAACATAAGAAATGGAATAGACAAAAAATCGATTAAGTTAATGAAAGTTTTCTTTGGACAGGTCGAGATCACCAGCTCGAAATAATAATTTTAGGAAAGATATCGCATTTCGTTACAATTAAAGAAGTGACCACAAGTGGTTGGTTCATAAGACCAACAATTTCAATCGCTAGTGACGAGGTGAAGAATGGCTGTTACCTTTTATATTTCTTTTTTAGTTTCGGTATATTTTCAATGGTGCGATAGATTGTGTGTATGTTATCGCGAATGATAAGATACGATACTTTTTAACGGAAAAGTTAAATCGGAAAAGGAACGAACCAAGGAATAACTCTGAGTTTTTTCATTAAATTTAAATTATTTTGATAATTTGGTTTGAAATGCTGTTGCTATTCTCAATCCTTTAAAAAATACCTTCTACACTGTGATAGTCGAAATCTTTTTTTTGGAAGGCAGCGGGTATTTTCTGCGCATTATTGGCCATGATTAGCCATGGCTCGAGCCGCAACATTGTCCAATGCGTGAAGTGAGTTTCAAATGCGCGATAAGAGAGCAGCTTTCGATATGAAACGTTTCCAACAGCTTCCAACAATGATTGGGCAAAATACAATCAGCCTGGTTGAAAAATTGGCTAATTATTTTTTATGCCTCTCGGCGAAGCGAATTCGAATTACTTATTTCGAATTACTTATGCGTATAGAATGCGTATAGAAGGGAGTCAATGCGGCTCTTATTAACATAAAACTCAAGGAACAGAATAGTGCAAGATGACTCGAATCTTGTTGGAAGACTAGAATGTTCTTTAAAAACCTAACCTTGATAGTGCTAACGATTCATCCGTACTTCTAGTCATTTTTCTGGCAAAAATTTTCAAGCTCGAACCCAGACAGAAATGAACGCAAACTTTCTGTATAATTTAGAATCCAAAGATATGCACTTATACTGCTTATTGCTTGTCTTGATTTACAGAGTGGTGTATTACAGAGTGATTTACAGAGTAGTGTTACAGAATGGATTTTTGAAGAACTTTAGATACCATCGAATTCGGTTCGCTTGCAAGCAACGAGTTATTTAAGTCGGAAGATTTTCCTTCCTCTCATATTAATTTTATTTTAATGAGAATTAGAAAAAATATTTTTTTTTTGTGCAAAACATTTGATATTTTTTTATTAATTTTTGTACGATTCCAGCGAATTTATTCAGCTGCAGATAAATGCCTCGAAAAAAAAATTATTTTGAACCAAAGTGCAAATATAATAAAACTGTTATTTTTAGCGTTGTTAATGAAAACTAATTTGGCGCAAATTATGCCAGTCTCTTTGCAAAAATTTCAGTTTTTTAAGATTTTAAATTAGTAAAAAATAAATTTTAAAAAATATTACAAAAAAATGCATACGATTGCTGTGTTATGCTTCATATAAATTTTAAATTTTAAATAATATTTTAAAATTTAAGCTTTTCAAAAATATCCTTTTATTCTATTTTATTTTTGCGATAATGTTTTGAAAAAACAAATAAATAAACACAAAATAAAGCAAATAATTAATGGGAAGGTTTATCGAAAAGTATTAATGAATATAAAAATTAAATTTCGACCAAAATTCAAACAGAATAGCAGAGCTTTTGTAGTTCACATTATCATATCATTATTCGTTTTATTCGACTAGGCTTTCTATGCAACTCTGGCCGATATTATATCTTAAATCAACTGACACCATTTCACTATCTTTTCATTATCTTAACCCTTCCTTAAGTGGTCTATAGCTAACCACGCCAATCCGCATAGGACTTTTTCTCGTTTTGATGTCATAAGATATGGTCTCAAAAACCTTCCAACCAATTTCTATAATAATCAGCGATAAATAAGACACTTCACTTCCAAATTACCAATTTATTCGAGCAAAGAAAAATGTAATAAGTGTATGAGCTTTTATCTCCTTGTTAAGCATGAAAAAAATAATCAAAGATGGATAGATTTTTGATAAACGTTATTATCATAATTCACATATAATATCATATAAATGGCAGATCGTAATAGAATAGATATGAGTTCAATATATTTCATGTGACACGATACATCGATCTCAAAAAGATCCATTGGAAGATCCATTGATAAAATATTTCTCTCTGCAGCAGATAGGATGGATTTTGTATTTTTATTCTGTTGTACGATTCAGTTGAAAATTAATATTTTAATAAGAAATTAAAAACATTTCTTTAGCGAATGGTGCATTCAGAATAAATCAGTATCTTAAAATTTGAGAACCTTGTCTTATTCATATCAATATGAAGCAGAGAGATTCAGGAACAGATGCTGTGCACTGATTACTGTTTGAATACCCGCAAGCGATGGTTATCCAGTTCATAGCTGAATATTGCTAGAAAATGGACTCAGTTCTGACATAAATAAAATTTTACGTCAAAAGGTTGCTACAATTCTCTCTAGCATGACTTGCGTTGACCAAAGGTGATAAAACGGTTTACGAAACGAGTGCTTGGTACTCCAGTTTGCAGCATGATTTATTATTGGAACAATATAAATAAAAGTGGCTAATTTATTTATTTGTCTAGTCCGCAGTGGAGGAGCGACAAAATCTTGCCAGAGATAACCAGTAGTCTCATTTTGTTCAATCATTTTTCTATCGTGGCAAACATCTGCAAAAAAAGAAACCGTAAAATAAGTGACAGTATTTGAAGAAATCATCACACCATCACACAAATGATCTTCTACGTCATTTTCACTACCCTTAAATTTCAAAATAGTAGAAATTATGCTATTTTGTTTAAATTATTACAAAATGTCGTTTCTATAAAATTGCTCAGCTCTACTTCTGGAAATAATTTTAAAAAATCCACCGACTAAGCTAAGCTTAAGCACAAAAATTATTTTAAATATTTATTTTGAAATAATTTATTTCGAAAAAATTTATTTCCACGGTCGATTTTATTATAAAAACGAAACAAACATTCGCACGCCGATAATTTATCAATGATAAAATATAAATAGAGTGCTTACTGTAAGAAGACTTACTGTAATAATTAACAGGTGAAACCACATTATGTCATTTTTTGGAAAGCATTTAAAAACAGTGGTTTGTGGATAACAGTGTATTCGGTGATGTTATTTTTATTAGTAGCTCTCTTATTCGTAAAGAAAGGTGAATCTGGAGAAGGAATGAAGTTAACCAAATGCCTTGATCCTAATACTGGTGCAATCGCTCGTCCACTACCGCTTCCATCTGCTTGCAAAGATAAAGATCCAGTGATTTGCAACGCAATTTTTTCGCCACGAGTTCCAGATATACCTAATAACGCTGTTGCGTTAGTTACTACTTCTATAATTTCCCTCCACGAGTTCGACCATTTCAATTTTCTCTATTTTATAGCTTTTCCGATTCGATTTATCATTGAAGAAAATTTATTGCAGAACGAACGATTTTTACGTTAGTCCAAACTGTGTAAACGCTACTGTTATGGCAAATGCTGAAGCATTGTGCCCCTCCTCATGTGCAGTTTGTTGTTTAACGCCTGAATTTAACTGCCAAAATTGTATGTTACTTCATACGAACTTGCTTGATATTTTTTACTGTAATTTCACAAAAACTTGGATAAAATCTAGTGGCAATTAAAAACTCGATTAAAAGCTTTGCCATGTGCACAAACTACTCGTATTTCAGCCGCTGCTAATTGCAATGCATTTATGTTGTCACCAGATTTATGTATAAATCCAAACACTGCCGCAGCAGCATTAGCAGGATGCCCTCGAGCCTGTGGTCTGTGCAATAGGCCTGGCGCCAATGGCCAATGCCCAGATACTGGTGTCGTGAATTGTGGACAGCTGTTGGCCACTGGCTTAAATTGTAGTAATGCATTCATGACGCAGAATTGCATGGGAACTTGCAGAATAACAACTTGTTTATGTATGCATTTATTATATCTATGTGGAAATAGTTTTTTCGACTCTTATCATTTTTTTGGATAAGCCAGTTGATTACA